AACTGTTCTCTTTAGCTGTAAAATTTATGGAATTTCACACTTTTCTTAATCACTATGGTGTTTCTTTTTCATGAGAGAGGAAATATACAAGGAGTTGTATGTGCAAGAGTTGGAGGGAGGGCAACATTCCATCTAACTTAAGGGAAGTTTGTGTATGTGTGCCATGTACATCTCTCATTCCCGGATGTACAAGGGAACTGAGCTCAAATGTACGAAGTAGAACTGAACTCAATTCCGTAGAGCTCAGAGGTACTTAGGAAGTCCATTTCAATCCCAGGGAGAAGTACATAAAAGATACGCTCATTGGCTAATTCCCTGGCCTTAATTTTATCCCTTTTAGAAGCCAAAAAAGGTAGATAATTTTATTGGCTCTTTGTGGTACATCTTGATCTTCTTATTATCTAGTCAGATCTGTTAAATAATGTAGTAGTAGGATCCTAAAAATGATGGAGGTGGTAGCGATGGTGGTGATAATAACTAATCTATATTATTAGTAACAGCATTACATTGAGTACTTCACATTTATTTAAACCTTGCCACAGCTCTATAATGATGTACACTGTTATTATCCCTGTTCTATAAATGAGGAAATCTCAAAATGACTTAAAGCTCTCTGCTTTAAAAATAAGCTTATGTTGTGTATTTTTTAAGGGAAGAAAAGATAACCACATTTGTCTAGGTTCTTTTTTTTCCCTCTTGTAAAAAGAGGCAAAATTTTGGTGGTACCTTATTTTAGAAGCTAAAATTCATTTTGAGTTCCCTGGATGGTTCATTTAAATTTTTTCCTTTGCACATCAATTAGATACAACTTTAAAACTAAGCGTTGTTGGCATTTGACTGCAAACAGTTGTTGGTGATCCTCAAGGCCATTGGACAGAGTGTCTCAACTAAATGTTTGGATTCATTTACTGGTTATTTGGATGTTTATGTTAGTTCAGAATGATATTCAGTCCTGGCCTCTGCTGTGGAAGATACCTAGATAAATAAGATACTCCCCCTCCCCGTGGTGACCTCATAACTTTATTTATTCCCTAGATTTGCTATCTAAACAATTAGAATAGGGGACACAGGCAAAGACTAAATTATATCATGCACAGAATAAGGATTACTTGGTAAAAGAGGATTCCTGGAAATTTGGTCATGATTGATTAGTGTTCCCATTTCCCCAGAATAATTGGCAAATTCTCACATATTATACTGATCATGGTTGGGGAATAAGACGAAAAAATAGCTGGAAAGTGAGGCTCAGCATTCAGGACGGACATATCTGTAAGGATAGAAACAGCATGAAGCTACTTAATGGTAATTTACTCTCCAAATCTGGATATAGGATTTGTTTTTGGTTTGTTTTTTCAGGCTTCCAGAAAATCTGTCTTCATGCTTTTGTCAATCTCAAGATAGGTTAGAGTGGGTTGACTATAAAGCAGATATATTCTAAGTGTTCATGTGTGAACGTTTGCAACAATAAACCCCATCACCGTAGGGCCCCAGAAAGAGTCTGGGAAGGAGAGAGGAGGAAACTATCATTTACTGCATTTTACCACGTGTCAGGCAGTGTGCCAGGCACTTATGTAAACATCTCTTCGTATTCCTTTATGAAGACATTTAGGAGGAATTTATCTTGTATTTCAGTGCCAGGAGTAGATGGGCTTCTCCTGAGTACTTGCCCTATTTATTTCATGGACACTCTGAACTTCATAGATGATGGTGTTTCTCTAGTAATAATTTTAGCATTTTCTGAGCCTTTACTATGTTTTAGGTACCGTGCTTATTATTTATATGTATATCTCTGTGAATCTGCACTGCAGCCCTTTTGTAGTAGGTATTATTGCATGTTTTCACTGAGAACACTAAAATTGAGAGAGGTTAAGTGACTAACTTTTCTAAAGCCACACATCTGGTAATAGAGCCAAATTTCAAACTCAGGTCTAACTCTGCAGTGTAGCCCAGCTGTTTCTTCCTGAGATATTTATGCTATTGTCTCCCTTTATTTAATTCTAAACACCTAACCTGTATCCTAAATTTTTTTTTTTACTTAGCAACCCATGTCTAAAGGGAGGTCAAAGAGAAGGACCCAGGAGTCTAGCAAAAAGCAGCAATATGTATATACTCAGAGAGAAACTGGTGGTTGATTTAAAACTTGAACCAGTTCTCAAAAGTAGGGCCTATAACTTTTTGGCATTTGTTTAATGGTTTTCTTAATCTTATGACACTAGGCATTAGCCACATATAAAAACATATAATGCATTCTGGTATGATTATTATTCAGCAAATATTTTTTTGCATGTACTATATGCTTATACATCATTGAACAAGCCAGACATTTGTCTCAATCTAAGAAAACACTAATGAATTGAGACTATAAAGGAATGTAACAGTCAAGAAACCTGTAACTATGGCTTAGTCGTTTTGAATGCCATGATTCTTAGAGTGAGAGAGTGACAGTACACAAGACTTTATTTAAAATTTTAAAAAACTAGTGTGAGCCAGAGATCTTTGATGGAGCATTGTCAGAAGAATTTCAGAAACTGCAAGTTGTTACACAGATGTATTGATTTAATTAGTCTAGATAACACCATTTATTTATGCTTAAGCATCTCACACATGCGAAGTTGGTAATTCGAAGTCACACAATAATTTGTGAGTTATCTTCTATACCACGTGTTGTAGCTTCTGAATACCAACTTTGACAAGTGTGTGTGTCAGATGCTTAAGCATAAATAAATGATATTATATAGACCAATTAAGCAAGACAGTTTACTTTTGGAATTCTGTTGACATAGTTTCATGTAAAATCTTTTGGTGGTGGCTTTTAAAATCACATTAATTATATTAAACAGTTTAATCTTATACTATGGGCAAGATCCTCATTGAAGTAGAACATATCTGGGTTCTGCTGGTTAGGTCTCTGGATATTTGGGTGGATCCTTAATATACCATTGCAACGTGATAAAATTGTTTTCGTTAACCATGCAATGGGTGTTTTAGCCAGTGGATAAAGAAGAGTAGAGTTATCCTTTTAGCAAAAAAATGAACTTATTTTTGTGATAGATAGGAGTCTGTATTTTTAAATCTCTTGGGGAGGGAGACCAGTTAGGATACCCTTTCTCTCCTCATGCCTCCCTCCTTCTTTCTCTCTCTGTCCTTCCTTCCCTCTCTCCTTCGCTCTCTCTCCCTATCTCTGTTTTCCTCTCTCTCTCTTCTTCTTTCCCTCCCTCTCTCCCCATCCTTTTAGCTATTCTAATTTTAACTATAAGAACACCAAGTTTTTTTATGTTTGCCTGATATTACAGTACTGTTTTCACATATTAAAAAATACTATCAGTTATACAGTATATTTTTTATCTGTATCTAATTTTGAAAGTTTTGTTGTCATTTAAAATGGTAAGCTATCCGAAGGAAACTGGAGTCTAGATAATATAATAGGGAACTTAGCATCTTTTCTTTCAGAGTTGGGGATGCCTCGCCTCTGTTATTTTTTCTCACCATAGTCCCTAGAAGATAGAAAGGGGAAAGATTAATTAACCTAGTTTTACACATGAGAAAACAGAAGCTCATAGGGGTTAAATGTCTTTCCTAGGGTTAGACTTACTAAGACTGTAGTCACAGAATGCCCCAGAGAATTCCAGAGCCTGGCAGAGTGTAGCACACTACCCACTGAGAAATGTGATAGGCAGGTAATTATTTTCTCAGAAGACTTGACTATTGCTGGTCAATTCTTACTCTTCTAAGAATATCCACCATCTTATCCCCAAGGCAGAAACTTGTTTGCAGGTTAGGGCTACTCTGTAATCTTTAGGAGATGTTACTTAGCACAGCTGGCTTGGAATTCCAGGTAAGTATAATATTTTCATGTGTTCTTCTAACAGGAGTTTCTTCAGGCTGCTGCTAAGTGCCCATGTTAATCAGTGCTCAAAGAATGTAAGATGTCACTTTTAAGACCATTAGCTGTTATTACTTTATGCTCTGTAACAGGGGGCATAAAGGTATTTGATTTCATTTCATGTGCACTAAATTGAATACTTAGGGATGGTAACATAACCTTGGGCAAGGCCTGCTCACTACCCATCCAGTCAGGCAAATGCAAGAGGGAAAACACATTTTGCAGAGAAAAAGGAAGCCATGTAAAATGGGAATCTCACTGCTGATGCCCGGGGGCATAGACAGACTGAATTTAATATGGAAAATGGCCCAGCTGGTATAAAAAAAAATCATCCATTTGGAGTTAAAGAGCAAGGCAGACTTAGTCAAGGTTCTCTGTAGGAACTTGTATTCTTAGATTTGCAAGTAAAACGAAGACCACCTATAAATCCAAGTTATATTTACTTTTTATTTGTCTCATTTATAAAAATTACTTCTGAGTTATCTTAGGGAAACCTAGTTATATTAGGAAAATGTTAGCATTTCACCTAAATCTACAGTTCTGTGTAGATTTAGTATTCATGGAGTTCCATCATCATTATCTGCATTAACAGTTTAGTAATTTTACTTAGATATTTGAGACCTACTATCCTTTCCCACCCTGAGTTGTTTCCTTAATAGTGGGGCATACTGTTAACCACTTAAGATTTTGGTTCAGGTGCTCAGACTGAGCCTGTTTATTTTGGATGGAGCTGCTGCTTTCTTTAGTCTGTGGCCTGACACTCTCAGAATTGTGTTTTTTGGTTTCAGCAGTTTGAAGAGACATAAGAGCACCCATGCTTTGCCTTTGAAATGCATTTGTAACAGGTTCTGGTCCATAGGCTTTAAGAAGAAAGCTTTTTCATATACCTTAAAGTGCTCCAAGTGGTCTTCTGTTCAAAGAAAGCAAGCCGACCTCCCATTACCTCTTACCACATTCTAGGTTCTTTAGATTTCTCTAAATTTTTACTTTCATCATGCTTGACTTAGCTGCTGCTATTTTCTTATTCATCAAGAGTTGGAATGTTCCCATATGCTGTGGGAAGAGGTGTTGGTATTACTGCTTTGACGATCACTTTGTCAACATCTTTCTTTCTTAGACCCCATATCATGTCAACCTTCTCCTGGCTGGCTATGATGAGCATGAGGGTCCAGCGCTCTACTACATGGACTACCTGGCAGCCTTGGCCAAGGCCCCATTTGCAGCCCATGGTTATGGTGCCTTCCTGACACTCAGTATCCTGGATCGATACTATACACCAAGTAAGTTCTAGCATTCAGTAGGAGAGTCCCATCCTCAGCTGCTCCCCAGTTTTGTGCACTACCCTTTGGAGTTGGGTGGCCAGGACTTGAATAAAGGCTGGAGCCTAAGAAGCACATGCAAGTACTCTCTGGAAGTTGTTCTTTCCTGTGGGTTATTCAAAAGCTGATAAAAGTCCCTCTTTTGCCAGGCAAAATGAGATATTGCATTTGTGTTTTATTTTGTTTTAAATGGGGGTTGAGTAGTGAGTAAAACGATAATTGTTCAGTTACAAATGGTCAATTTTTTCACTTATTTTGCTCTGCCTGCATGCTTATTATCAGCTATTGAGAATGAACAAGTAAACCAAGTGGTTTGTGTGCTTGTTTTGAGCTTGTGAGGGTGAACAGGTCCCCAGCGTGACAACTGAGGACTTCTTTGTTTAAAGGCAAAGCTTTTGAAGACCACAAATCTAGACCTTTTCCTTGGTTCTTATCACCCAATGGCTGCCCCCTCCTGCAAGACAAAGCTTGCTCTCTACTTGTCCGTAAACTGCCAGCTTGGCACAGGGATGCTTTTCTGCTAAGTTCTATCTTCTAACCCCAGTCCCAACCTCAACTTTAGCCACTGTGAGCACTAGATATTTGGGAGTCTTAGCTTTTACAGTCCTTAGATGCAGCACAGATGACCACTTCTCTCTTACATTCCATTCTTCCCTGTCAGTATAGTAAAATTCTGGCTTGTTCATTCCTTTTTTGGTGCTGCCCTCTCGCTCAACCTCAGCTTTGCCAGAGCTCCAGGCCACATCCTGAAAAGAATTAGCCTGGCCTCCTAGTGACTGTTTTCTTGATTTGGCATCTGTCGATAATAGAGCTCATTTTGCCCACCAAAATAACCACCAACCACCCCTGAAGCCTAACTGCATAATATGTCATCCCCGTTTGCCATGCCCATGGACAGTTCCTTTGGCTTCTATTTTGTGAGAGTCTCAGCCTTATCCTATGAATTCTCTTTCCATTGTTAAACTAAGACCCAGCTGGGAAAATGAGGCTGAAACTCCATCTCTGTCCTTCCTTTCCCTGATTTGCAGCTGGCCAGGGCAGATGGAACTGGTTTAAGCCCTGGTCCGGGTGGGGGTGGGTGGGGGGATGGGCTATAAAAAAAGAGGCAGGCCGCTGGACTTCTCTAGAGGCAGGCCCTGGCCAGGGGAGGCAGAATTCCGTCATGCTTACCCTTCTCTGTAGCAAATCAATTTGCAATGGCTTGTGGCTGCCAGAGCATTGGGTCTGGGGCACCCTCGACTGCATATGGAATAAGTTTGTTGCAAGCTAAAAGGCTAGACTTTTTTTTTTTTTTTTTGTCTTTTCCGTTTGTGTGACACACTGACCTGAAGAAGTTTGAAACTTAAGAGTTGTGGCAGAGAGTTGGATTTAATGGCAGACCTTTGAGTGCTTGGCCTCTGTGTTCTTTTTCAGCTATCTCACGTGAGAGGGCAGTGGAGCTTCTAAGGAAATGTCTAGAGGAGGTGAGTAGCCCCCATGGGATCCTGAAAGGACTGAAAAGAATGTTTTGTCTCTGTTTGCCAATAATGTTCTAGTTCCTCGGTTGCATTTTTTCTGATCCTTGCCAGAAGGTGTAATAAATACCCACTAACCAGATGTGAAGTTGCTACCAGAGATAGAGCTTATTTTTCCTCTCATGGGTCACCTCATCATCAATGTCAGTTTTACAATTTAATTTCTTTTTGGTTCATGCAGACTAGTCGTTCTCAAATTTTAGCATGTATAAGAATCATCTGATTCTTGTTTAAAAACCAAAAACATATTCAGCACCCGCCTCCCTGCTGCCTTCTGATTCACATGTTCTGATGTAGAGCCTTAAGATATTTTAACCATCAGTTCCATCAGGTGATTTTGCTGCAGGTGGTAACTGGGCCATACTTTAAGAACTGCTGCCCTAGACTTTATACCTGCTATATTCTTGTGACACCTAGAGTTGCCATACTGTCTGTTACCTTAACAGTACATGAGTCCAGGAGAGAAAGCCTCCCCTGAGAATTCAGGAGGCTATAGAAAGCAACTAGGAAGCTTCAGGTGGAAGGGGAGAGAATCCTTTAGTTTATGAGGCCAAGAACATGGACTCCACCCATTCTAGTACTACTAAAAGTCAGAGGCTTTGGGGTATGATTTGAGGGTGAGGAGGAAAAGAAAGCTCCCTTAGCCTTTTTTTATCCTTTTACTGTTCTTGTGGCCTAAGGATTAACTTGAATTTATGGTCTAGTCAGAGAGTAGGAGGATGAGAGCAGGGGGAGCTTTGGACGTAATGTCAGTTTACCTCTACACAGGCCTGTCATTTTCAGTCCACAGTGCCCCCTTCTTCCTCTTGTTTGTAAATCCCCTTTCCAAAGCAGAAGCTGAAAATAAACTCATGTGCTTTTCTTAACCATTTAGCTGAGAGGCTGTATTAGTCTGGCAGCCCCAAGTATTGCAAGGGGCTGCCAGGAAGAAGCCACTGGAATACAAGTGCTTTGAGGTTATTCCTCATAGATCCAAAAGATGATCATTTTAGAAACCCATATTTTCTTATGGTCACCTTTTCTTGATCTTGGAGCTTGTTTCTGAACATAAGTGTCAGCCAGAGAAGTCTCTGGAAGTGAATGGGTTGTTGCTGCTCAGTCCTCAGCAGTAAAGGAGGTGGGAGGAGACAGGGAACGTCAAAGGTGGGAGGGCTTAGGCCTGGAGAGGTGGACATTTCCAGGATATGCTCCTAAAGGAGCAGGTAGGGAGCTTTGTGCCTTCTCTCTGGAGTATAAGTGAGGCATCCAGGAAGGGTAGCCACAGAAGCAATGATTTCCTCCAGTCTCTTCCTTGGTAATCTCCAGCCAGGTTTGTGGGGCTGTCTGCTTCCATGCATGTAGACCACAGCTCCTTCGGAACACCCTCTCAAGCAGGGAGTCAACGAGAGCGCAGAGATGTTACTTTAATGACAGGGCAGCTTCTATTGGAGAAGACAGAAGCAGGGGTTGTTCCAAGAGCAGTTTTGCTGACAGTCCTTCCCACCACACCACCAGCTACACACACACAATCACACAGTCCTTATAACGTGGGAGAGTGACTGGAGCAAATCGTTGGGACCTAGGAGCACCTCGCTTTGGTCCAAAGCTTATTCCTAGGGCAATCTTTTGTTGGCTTATTACCTTGAACCACTTTAAAAGAGAAGTCTGTGTTTACCAGTCTAATTGGTAGCAGACTGTGGGAAATAGAGCATTGGAGTGTCTCATTTTTCATTAGCTGACTGACCAGAGACAAGCTCCCAACTGCATCTCCCAGTTCTCACTACCTTCCAGTCAGTCAGCCTTCAGCTGCAGTTTGAGCTTTCCTTATTGTCCTAGTACCGACGGTCTCCAATAGGATGTAAGCTCCACAAAAGCAGGGATTTTTATCTGCTTTTGTGCCCAGTGCCTCAAACAGAGCCTGGCCCATAGTTGGTGCTGAGTGAATATTTGATCACTGATTTCCTCCATGTCTCTCTGCAGCTCCAGAAACGCTTCATCCTGAATCTGCCAACCTTCAGTGTTCGAATCATCGACAAAAATGGCATCCATGACCTGGACAACATT